GGTATATTCTAATGCATTTTTTGTTCAATCATAGGATCATATTAATCATATTCAAAAGCTACAACATTAATTTCTGAAATATTTCTCGAAAACATAGTTGAGTTTTTTTTTTTTTCCCCTAAAGGAAATCAAATGTTATAGTCAATACTTTTCGAAGAACGATTGTATTCTCTAACTTCCAGAATTCATTATCACAGTTCTTTTTGCAAATTTGTGACGATTGTGTTACATAGGAAAATGATATTCCGTGACGCATTTTTTGTAACCTGAGAATAATCACTTAGGTTTAAAAAAAAAATACCTAGAGTATTTTATAATTAAAAATCATCATTAACAATATATTGTATATTATTAATCATGTGTTTTTTTTATTTATTAATATTTAAGAATGTTATAAAGATATAGATTTTCTTACTATTTTCTATAAAAAGAGAATATGTAGGAATGGAAAAATAAAGTCAAATAAACCAAATAATTAGCTTATTGTGACAGCAAGAAGATTTTCAAGAAGATATTAATTAAGAAAACGGTTTTTTTCTTGCTTTTGATGCAATTGCAATATTTAAAGAATTTGTCATGATCACGTAAAACGTGGTCATTAAAAAAAAAAATAATATATATATATATATCAATGTTTATTTTTAAAACAATACTAAATTGAAGAAATTGATGTAGCATAATCGTTACTTTTTTTTCCAAGGAAGTAAAATGATGCAATTAATATTCTTTGTAGAATAGTTGTATCCGCTAACTTCAAAAATTCATTATCACAGTTATTCCTTTTTGCAAAACTAATTTAACGGCTCGCGGCAGCTATCTCTTCTTTCAAATCGCTTTCGCTTCTATTGTTGCGAAGGTTCTTGTCTCGATTCCAAGTAGCGAGTCTGACATCGATTTGTCCGGTGCACCATACGTTCCGACATTTTACTGTTGCTTACTTCAACGGGATATTCATTTTCTATTTTCGTAGCTGCTGCAGTATAACACCACGTTTGCGCAGGAACGGTTATAATCGCATGAATATGAGAATCTAATAAAAACCTGTCAGAGCACCATATTCGTATCTCAAATAGCAATTTATGACGACAATTCATTATTTTAAACGAATTGCTTAAAAACTTTATGTCATTTCATCTTCATCTTATTTATTTTTTATCAATGCTATTCAAATGTTACCTTCTTGAGATTGAAATTTTTAATCATCCGCTTTTTTCTTTAATAAATCTCAAGCTACCTTTTTAGAAGATTAATTTTTCGCAACGATTTTTTTGTTTCTTTCAGTTTCGCACATTGGAAAAATAAATATAAATATTTCCAAAATATAAAAATATAGATTCGAACGATAGTCAGGTTCGTCCCACTACGTCAGGCTCCTAGCCGGCGTTATCGGATTCCGCGGATCGAGCGAACACGAGACTAGAAGGAACCTCGAGATCGTTGCTGATACATCATGTTCCCAGAAATAGCGCTAGCGACTTTCCGGAAACTTTGAGGCGACCGTTAAAGAGGCAGCAACAACGCATTCTCGACGATTGGCTGGAGCCAAGCTGGGGCGCGGTTGCGACCGACCACGCAACCGCTATATCATCCCATTCAAATATTACCGCGACACCGCGTTGCCCGGTAGCAGTGTATGAAATCGACAACGAGGTTCGGGCTTGCAGTTTCCACGAGATCCTTTTCAATTTCGTTCGCACAACCTCTTCGGACGCAACCGTTGCGCGTCTACGAGACTCGTTGACCAGCCGATTACAACACCTTGGTGTCTTAATTAAAGTAAAAAAAAAAGAAAAAAACAGTCGAATCTCGCGCTGCCACCATGGTATGTTCTATCGATGATATTGTAAGTCGTCGCCCTGGTAACATACACGTCTTTTCCTATCTATACTTATGCAGTTATTTGTTGTATTTTTTAACCATGCTCAAATTCTCTCTCTCTCTCTCTCTCTCTCTCTCTCTCTCTCTTTCCCCGCCCTCCCACTCTCTCTTTTTCTCTGTCTAAATATTATAAAAAATTATCTGCACGTGCTGTCTAAATGTAACTTTCTATATGTAACTTTAAATTATCTTTTGTTTTTAATCTGTTCTTAGATCTCGTTTGTGCACTTTTTGTTTATTTTTACGCATCGTGACTTGGTAACGATTAACAATGTGTATCATGTCATTTAGATTTCTAGCGCACCTAGATAAATAATGTTTAACCAAATGGCTGAGAGAGATATATCTTGAAACGATAAGATTCTGGAAAAACGTGATTGTTTCTTAGACGGCGAGTCAATTCGACCGCTCCTTTAAAATTATTATCATCTCTTCGAAAAGATATGCTTTATTACTGAAAAGATCAGTATAGTTTTTCCATTATTGTTACAGCCAAGTTATACCGAGCATTTTAAAGTGGCGGTTTCGAACAAGTCTATTTTAATTATCTTTAATATCGCTGAAGCTTTGATAAATAATATAATGATTATTCAATGATAAATTATATATTTGTAGTAAAAAGTTGAAATAAAACTTGAGATTATTAAATAATGAAATATAATTATAATTGATTATAATTGAGGATTGATCTTCAACTACATACTTATATAGTAATTTAATTTATGTTTTATAAATATATATTTGTAAAAAATGAATTAAACTCTTATTTATATTTTTATTATATTATATTATTATATTTATATTATATTTTTAAGATTTTAATTATAATTATATTTCGTTATCGAAAAACCTCAATTCTTTATTTCGTAGCATGCTCAAAATTGCACACATGAAAGTTTTATTCTACATAAAATAGTTTTATCAAAAATAACGAAATGTTCCATACTTACGATTTAAAAAAATAAAAATACTCGGTGATTTAATAAGATTTTTAAGAATTTAATAAGATTTAAAAATCAAATTTTATTAAATAAATTTTAACAATGCACGTATGTTTTTTTCCAAAAATAACTAGCAACTTTAAATTGAATGCAATATTTAAAATCTTTTCAATGTTCAATATTGATGTGTTTACAAATATTTTATCTATTTAATAATTCGTATCTTTACTGTGATAATTTGCAGGCTGACGAATTGCCGCCAGAACAAATCGCCGGTATGTATGGAAGAAAAATTCAAAACAATTTGTTAATTTCTAGTAAAATTCTAGAATAGAATCGTGACAACAATCGTAACATAATTGTTGATTAATATATTGATGCAAAAAGATATGAAGTGACTTTATTTTGTTAAAGATAACTTTTTAAATCTCAATTACTTATTTTCTAATAATTAAATTAATTAAATGATTACTTGATTCAAATATTTACTTTCATTTAATCTGAAATTTTTACATAAGTCGAGACAATTCTGTTCTATTCTATTTATAAAAGCAGTCAACAATACGATGTAAACGAAAGTTATCGATGTCTGTTGATCTTGCTGCCAGTTGCTATAACACAGAAATAGAGATATTCCGAGAAAATCCAGAGAATAAACAAAGATAAAACGCAGTAGCCAAGAACAAATAGACATAAATGTATAAATGGACGTATTCATATATATTATTTAAGATTTAAAATTGTAATATTATGCGTTAAAAGTTTGAGAGATTAATTTATTAAGATTGCGATCCATTATTAGTGTTTCCAAAAATCGAAGTTGAAAAATATTCAAAAATATTCAAAAAATATTCTGTTCGTGATTTAATGATACGGTCAATTTTTATGTTTATTAAAAAAGCAATATATAAAATACACGATATATATATATATTCTGTTCAATTGTTGAAAACAGCGTGTCCAAATCGTGATTTCTGCAATAAAAGAGATATGTTGCTGTAGAGGCACTTTTGATACCGTAAAAGAATGGTATCGCGAATGGTTTATACCTGGCACTAAAAATAGGGCATCTCACAAACAAAATACGGCAATTGCATCGACCACGAATAAATTTTCATTGCTTTCGCCGAGTTTATTTACGCGTTTGATCCGATTGGGAGTAATTGTGGAGAGTGCGGCTATGTATAGCTACGCAGATCGGAAGAAATAGTATTACAGAGCGTGACAACGACGCATATATATATATATATATATATATATATATAATAAATACACAGAGTAGAAGAGAGTAGAAGAAATAGA